CTCTTTTAGAAAGGATCCTCTGTTATTTTTCCCTCTCTTGCAGCACAAGGTTCCAGGATCTCCTTTGCTGAATATTTAGTGAACAGCATCTGCAGCATCTTAATTACAGTAGCTGTTCTCATCTTAATCTCTTGCTTCAGAATAAGGTTAAGTGTAATCTGTCCTAGATTCTTATACAGATGGTTCGTTTCTTAAATACTTGAGAAGAGTTTAGTCGATCTTTAATTCCTTAATCTGGGAACCAAGTCCAACCAACCTGATTCTGAGTGATATTTTAGCAGATTTTACAAGAAAAATGTAACACACCCCCCCACCCCAGCAGGGGTTGATTCCTTTTTGATATTATTTTTTTGTTCTAATGAAAGTTGCTGGAAGAGAGAAGATCCACATGGACTCTCCCTTCCTCCCAGTAACCCAAATAACTACACAGCATTATGGATAAAGAGCATCCGAGTGGCAGGAGAAGCTTGCAAGTACCTTTTTCTTTAGTTGAAATACAGCGGTTTCTAAAGAGTTCAATAATATATTCAGTAGATATTTTTTCCATCTACAGCCAGATTGCTGGCATTGCCAAAAACTGCAAATCCTGATTCAACAGAGATTTCCTTTCTGCAAGAAAACTGCACCTTCCCCATTATGATTCTGGCAAGGAGCGAGCTAAGACACATAATGGCAGTTTTCTATTTGGTTCATATTGAAACACAGCTGTGAAAATTGTTGATATAAAACTTTAAACAAGAATTTTGGGTTTTAATTATTTATCCGAGTCTTGAACCAAACTTCTTGACCTTCACGCAGCCATAAAGGAAGAAAAAAAAAAAAAAAGGTAGATTTTTCATTTGGACTAAAGGAGTAAAAACCTCAAGGGTTCTTACTACACTTTTTCTTGTCTGGTTCAATTTCCCTTTACGAGTTGAGTTGCTCTTTTATTCTCAGTATTGCACCAGGGGAACCCAGTTGATATGAAAGCACAGCTACTCTGCCATCCCCAAAAAGCAGCCAGAGGAAGTTTTTTTTCAGCCTCAGCTGTGAAATAAAACATCACAACCCCAAAATCCTGCAGCAGGGTCAGGCCAGGACCCCTCATCTCCATGTGCAGCACACAGTCATTCTTTTCCAGAGGAAATAACTGTTCACCTCTTTAAGCTAATAATCACTTCACCATTTTAATTCCCCAGCTCTTGGCTTGTGCTTATGATTTCAAGCTTTGCATTCAGTAAGACCCTAAAGAAAGCTCAAGAAATGAACTCCCCAAGAGTCACTTCTCTTGGTGAACTCTCCCAGAACTGGCTCTGCCCATGTTGACCTTTGGCAAACCTCCAGGGAAGGCATTCTGGCACCCTTTCCAGCAATTCTGGGATCTCCAGGTAAGGATAATTGAGATGTTTTATTTCCCTGCAAAGTTAGCGTGGGGTGTTTTTTTTCTGAGAATTTTAAAAAATAGCCGTGATGATCATAGAATCATGGAACTACTAAGGTTGGAAAAGATCTCTAAGGTCATCAAGTCCAAACATGCCTGAAGAGAGCCTACAAGGAATATGGAGAGGGACTTTTTACAAGAGCATGTGGTGACAGGACAAGGGGAAATGGCTTCAAGCTGAAAAAGGGTAGTTTTAGATGAGATATTGGAAGAAATCCTCCCTGTGAGAGTGGGGAGGCCCTGGCACAGGTTGCCCAGAGAAGCTGTGGCTGCCCCATCCCTGGAAGTGTCCAAGGCCAGGTTGGACTGGGCTTGGAGCAATCTGGGATAGTGGAAGGTGTCCCTTCCCATGGCAGGGGGTGGAACTGGATAATCTTTAATATCCCTTCCAACCCAAACCATTCCATGATTCCATGATCAATCCAGCCCCACAACGTTCACCACTAACCCGTGTCCCCAAGTGCTACATTCACATTTTTCCAACTCTTCCAGGGATGCTGACTCAAGTACTTCCCAGGGCACACTGTTCCAATACTTTACAACCCTTCCCGTGAAGAAATTTTTCCTGATATTCAAGAGACACAACCTGTCACTTGTTTCCTGGGAGGAAGAGACTTTGTTGCCTCACTTTATGATTCCCCAGACTGGAGCCAAACAGGGGCTCCTGAGGAGCGGGATACCCATGCCCACTCTCACCATGCCCTCGAACCCTCACATATTAACTCATTGATCCGAATTAACAATAATCTTTATTTATCTCCTCAATAAATCAGCGGTTCCTCAGGCTGCAGTCTCCCGGCCGGACACCTCCGGAGCCGGGTCTCCCTGCTCAGCCTCTTTGTCACAGCCCCTTCCCCCTGCACACACGCAACTTCCCCAACTTCCTTAATGTGCCTCTTGGCAAGTAGCAATTTTTCTCCGGGATTATAAATTTCCGCGGTTGCCCTGATCCGGCAGCTGCCGGGCTACCAGCGCGCCGCGATTGCTCCCCGGTGACATGGAGCAGATCGATTTCTCGCCTCGCAGAGCGCAGGCGGATTAACACAGTGATAAATGGCCGGGGATTGATTTGCACTTAATTGACAATTTGGTGAACCTGCTCTAAAAACCTCGAGGTTTGGCCCCGGGTAATGGAGCGGGATCGATCCGTGAGGGGAGCGCGGGGCTGGCGCCGACAGGGGGCGCCAGAGCCTGAGGGACCGTTAAGGCGGGAACTCTGAGGGGCCGAGGGGAAGGGGGGGGGGCGGCCCCTCAGGGCTGAGGGAAAAGGGGAGGATGCGCCATTTTCCTCCACACGCAGCTCTCTGTGTTTTATTCCAGCCTCCAAACCCCCCATTTCCACCCCACATCCACCTGTCCCTGCTCTCCTGTGCTGCCCTGTCCCCTCCGCTCCCCATTTTGCGTCCTGCCTTCATTGACTTCCTCCTGAGGGGACATGGAGGGGCAGCACTAGTGGTCAATGACAGGAGCTGAGGCAATGGCCTGAAGTTGTGTCAGGGGAGGGCTAGGTTGGATCTCAGGAAAAGGTTCTTCCCCCAGAGGGTGGCTGGGCACTGAACTCTCCCCGGGACAGAGATCACAGCACCAAGGCTGCCAGAGCTCAAGGAGCGTTTGGACAACACTCTCAGGGACACAGTGGAATGGTTGGATTGTCCTGTGCAGGGTTAAGAGTTGGACTGGATGATGCTTGTGAGTCCCTTCCAACTCAGGATATTCTGTCATTCATTACTGCTGGATAATCTGGCACCACCAGACTTAGCAGTGGAGTTCATAGAATCATAAAAATCACAGAATAGTTTGGGTTGGAAAAGACCTTAAAGATCGTCTTGTTCCAACCCCTGCCATGGGCAGGGACACCTTCCACTATCCCAGGTTGCTCCAAGCCCCGTCCAACCTGGCCTTGGGCACTTCCAGGGATGGGGCAGCCACAGCTTCTCTGGGCAACCTGTGCTAGGGCCTCACCACCTTAACAGAGAACAACTCCTTCCTAAAATCCAATCTAAACCTACTCTCATTATGAAGTTATTCCCTCTTGTCCTGTCACTAAATACCCTTGTAAATAGTCCCTCTCCATCCTTCTTGTAGGCTCCCTTCAGGTCACAATTAGGTCACCCCAAGCTGACTCTTCTCCAGGCTGAACAATCCCAATTTTCTGTCTTTCCTTGCCCAGCTGCTAAGGGAGTGGTTCCAAACTCATTACCTCTGGCTTACCTGTGGCATTATGTTAATCTTAAATGTAACATAAACTCCCCCCAGGATCAGTCACCTGTGAGTACAGGGCTTTATGGACAAAGCAGGAATTGGATTTCTGGCAGGAGTGAAAGTAAAGGCCAAGAAGGAAGTTAATTAACAAAAACTGTAACCTTCATTTACCTTTTCTGTCATCTTTTGTTCTTTTCTGCTGTTGTGCCAAATCCCAGAGCTTTTACCCAACAGCCCCACGGCACAGTCTGCTTTAAGAGATGATAAAAGCTCTGTGCAATTCACGGCAGTGGAGCAACATTATCCTCCAGTATTTATCTATTATTTATCACAAAGTACTTTTAGAGTTGACACAAGAAGCAGTACGGAGTCAACCTGTTGAACAGCTTCATTCAACCCCATCTTGTGTGTATGAGGGTTCTGAAGGGCTGTGTAACTGTGTGGCTACACCCCCACGGTGAGCACGACCCAGTCACCCCCTGAACATAAAGGCTGGTTGGACTGAAAGTTTTTCCAACAGCTTTTTAATTCCAACTAACCTGACCTTCAGCTCCAACAACAGCATCCAGAACCGCCTCTGGATTTCAGTCTCTAGGATAGAATTGCTGAATCTAGTAAATAAATTGTGAACAAAGCTAAATCCTTCATGTTGAAGAATAACTTTAGGCTTCACACCTTCTCTTCCTGCTCACCCCAGTGCCTTCTCCCCCTTGGGAAGTTGGCATAAACTCTGTAATGAGTTTCAGCTTCTGAAACAAATGCAGGACCCCAGAATTGACGAGTCAATAGTCTGATGGAGCGGAGCAGATCCTGTGTTCCCATAACCACCTGTGCCCACGTGTGGGACCTCTCTCCCTGCAATTGCAGAGCTTCTCCAAGTAATGGAAGCTCTGAAAATGGTTACAGGGGCTGCAGCACATATTCCCTTTGCAATGGGCACAACACTGCAAGGCAGCCCTTCCTCGAGGGCAACCGGACCTTGCTTTGTTTTTCCACACTGCAGGACTCGTCTCCAGCTCTGCTTCAAGCAAGGATGACCTGTGCTGCCAAAAAATTCAATCCACCTTCCCAATAAGGCAGCCTCCTACATGATTTTGTTACACTGGTTATATAATGGAATGGAGATAAAGAGGCAATTAATTACGTGGGATAAAGAAAAGTTCTTTTTGGTGGCACCTCTGCACTGGTTACAGCAAAGGGAAAATAGCAGGTTACAAGCCAAGTCAGAATGCACTGTCAACATGTTTCAATGGAAATGAAAAGACAGATTTGCCAGTTAATTAAGAACTGTATCAAAAGGTAGCTAAAATTACATGGAAATTAAAATTTCTTTGGCCCCAGAATGACCTCCATCCCTGCCTGCAGCTCCCTTTGTGTGTTCCTTGCCTGGGAAAACAGGAATGTGGCTGAGAGTGCCAGTGAGCAAAATAACTGCATTAGCTTATAATGCCACCAACTGTTACACGTCCTTAGCACAGGGAGGGTTTAAATAATTGTATGTTCAATAATTTTATTTCCTTGTGCAGGAATCAGGAGGTTATATAAAACCTGATACTGCTAGAATGAAATAACATCTTCTGACAGTTCCAGCATGGTAAGTTGGTAAGTGCTGAGCATTCAGGTTTTAATTATTGGACACACATAAATCATTTATTACACATTGATTTGTTTTTTAAGAATGTTTTGGTAGTGTGAAAATAGCTGGTAATTAACCTGTGATTAGATAGATTTACCCCCCTTAGCAAAGCGGGGGAACCTCTGAAGGCTTATGTTTATCAACCATTTCACTTTTAATTTTTGAATCAAGTCAAAAGCTCATATGGCCTCGCTGGAGATACGGGGATGTTCATTTGGAAAATTAAAAAGATAGTCAGAATTCTCACTGTCTGGAAGAACCAAGAGTAAAGATTTCAAATTCATAAGAATTAGAATTGTGCCTGTATCCAAAGGAGCAGCTAAATGGATATCAGGGGTTCATTAGTTGTTCAGAAAAGCAATATTGGTAGAAATAGCCAAATCCTGGGAACAGCAGGAGCTGTTGGTTTGATAGTTTTGCACCATATACCTCAACATCAAATTCTAAACTCTCCCCTGATCCTGAACCCAGCAGCTGCTGATCCCCAACACTGCTGTGGAAAATGCAATTTATCAGCTCTGTGAGATCAGGGAGAGGAGTAAAGACATAGTAAGCATAAACAGTTCCCTTATTCATCCAAAAATTCAATTTTTTTTCCATTAGATGGTTACTTCTGGTACCTGTTTCAGCTACAGTTTTCCCTGTGGTAAAGTTCAGTGTTTGGTTGTTCTGGATGGGAATATTTGGGGGGAAATTTCAGCAGAGTGACATCAGTGCCTCTTGTGAGTTCACTTTCTGAAGCTGGAGGTGGCAACCTCTAAATTTGTGCATTCAAATCACCCTGGAACAATTATTATTTCCACCTCCATAGCATCGTTCAGCCAAGGGTTTCAAATCTCCTACCATCCACAGATGAATTAAACTTCCACCTGACAGGTACAGAAATATTGTTATCCACCATTTTAGGAAAGGGAGGTTTTTGAGGAAACAGAACCCGCACTTTGCAGCTCCTCTGCTTCATTCCAAGATCTTCCTTCTGGGAAGCAGGTTCAAAATTAAGAGTTTTGGGTAAAATCCCAGGCTCACTGAGGACAAGGGCCAGGCTTCTGCTGGCTCCTGTGGGTCCCAAAGGCTTGAAAGCTTTTCAGCTGATAAGTTGTTATATTTGTTGCACTTTCACAATGAAACTCTCAATAAAGAGACGTTCATTTCATTTCAGAAAACAAACAAGGAGGAACGGAAATGAGCTACTTTGTAATCAGCCAAGTCAGAGCAGCAGACGAGCCCGGCTGGCTTGGGTTTCTCTCTGGGATGCCATTCAATGCCACTTTTATTTCTGAGCACGATGGTGCAGCCAAGGCTGGAAATGGAGGGATTTGAAAAACAACAGGAAGAAATTCCATATGCCCTACCTGTCCTGTGAAATGTTACAGGAGCCCCGTGGATAACTGCTGCAGGGCTGCACTGATCACAGTCTGGGGCTGAACCAGGGGACAGAGGGTTAAGCCCGAGTTATTTTGAACAATACATTTCACTTTATTTTCCCGTTTTCCTACTTTGCAGACTTACATTCTGAGGCTTTACTACTTAATCCCCACTGTAGTAATAAAAATTTTTAATCCTGTGTTTAAAATATGAGATTTACTTGTCAAAATCTGGATATACAGCAGGAATTATAATCGCTGTTCAGCAAAAGCAATTCCCCCCAAGTTCAGGCTGTGCTTGGGACAGTCTGTCAGGTGCTTTGTGTCGGCACTGGAGGAATGTTCAGACTACAGAGGTCAGAGCAGCTTTCCCTGGGCACTGGGGACACGAGAAGTTAACATACATTTCATAGGTACCAGCTCAGGTTTCCCATTTTTCTCCGATTTTGTGTTTTAATCCACCCATTCTTGCTCTGGTGATAACACAAAGGTTGGCTCCCTCAGCAAGTACTACCTGGCAATTCATGGACAAAACCTTCGACCAGAACCAAAATGCAGGGCGGGTTTGCAATGGCAGCATCTCACAGCCACCGTTGGGCAGAGCTCAGCTTTGCACAAGACTTGAGTCAGGGAATTTTAGGAGTGAATGTAGCAGGAGAGCCCTGAAAGCCTTGGCAGGGATCACCCACCTGGCCAGACCCCTCAGCACGGGCACTCCCTCAAAGGGTCAAGGCTAAACTTCTCCTGAATTGAAGTTTAGAGCAGATATGGGATCTAACACAGATTAACATCCAATTGACAGCACTGCCTCTCTGGGAAAGGGAATTCCAGGTTGACCTGGCCACTTTATTATTGAACTTGAAATATACTCCTCACTGGAACAAAATTTGCTGTCTTCACCCAATATTTATTCAGAGCAGATTTGAAATGAGCCACCCACACCTACCCATCCTGTGTTACAATAATATGACAGAAGAGATTGAACTCCTTATGTTTTAATGTCATAAAGTTAATACCAATATCCCCGAGCTGTTTAGTGAATTCTTAAACAGCTGTAAGTTCTCACACAGGCACCTATATCTAGTGTGTAGATATGGGAATAACTCTACTTCCAGCAAAGGCATCTCCAGGAAAAGGTTAAGTGCCAATTTATCAGCAGTTATGTCTGATTTTCTCATGTTTGGTTGGTTTTGAGATTGTTTCTCAATGAGCTGCTCTTTCAACTTAACAGCCCTTTGTCTTGTTCAGTGGCAAGAATGTTTTTCCTTCCTGGCTAAAAGAAGGTTTAAATCTTGATGAGGAAAAGCAAACCTAGGAATAGTGATTATTTTTTCTTAATGGAAAATTATAAGCCACTATCAACTAAATCATCCTTCACACTAGACATGACAGACTTGAGCACTTTGAAATGATTTGTTTTTTTAAATGATGTTATGATTTCGTGGTTGAAACAGTAATACTTTTTGCTTCACCAGACCCTGGGTATCATCCCATTCCTTACCCAGAAGAGACACCAGTAAGTAGCAATTTGGGACACTTTTTACTAGGGATGGAGGTAAAATGACATTATTGTAGCTGTATGATGCCCACGAGTCTCTGCCATACCAGGTCAATGTGCACTACCCAGAACTGGCTTTACCCAGGACACAGGGCTGCCCTGCCTTTTTTTTTTTTCTCTGAAAACTGCTCCAGTGGCATCTTTCTGGCCAGGGAATGGGAACACAGCTCCTGGCTGGGCCACCCTAACCCTAACCTGCACCCAGCCCTGTTGGTTTAACCACTGCTTCATTCAGGTGAAAAAACCTCCAAGAAATACATCAAAAGCTTTTAAAACGCGATCAACCCTCAGCCAAAAATCATCTCACTCAGTTATCCTGCTTTGAAAACCTGCTCCAGGAGCTGGATAAAATGCAGATATTCTCCCTCCTCATCAGACCCAGCACAGACTCCCTTCCCAGCACATCTTTGTCCAAACACCGTGACCTAAACTGCAACAAATGGAGCCAACCTTTCCATCAGGAAAGGCTTAATTTATTGTGAGCAAAGAACAACAAATCACAGCCTCTCAGATTTATGGGCCCCAGGATCTGAATTGACCATCCAGCCCCGCAGCCCTTCCAGCACTCTAGTCATTTCTTTAATAAAGTTGAAAATGTAAAATCTGCATTCATGCAGAGCCACCCCTCTGAATGTTATGTAAAGTGCACAGTAAGTTTATGGATGGTGGTAACGTATTGCTCCTTGTAATTTCATTATGTAAAAAGACACAGTTGGGATCTCTTAGGCCCCTATTTGAACATTTATGAATTAAGGAACAGAATGTATGCAAGACTGGGACTGGAGAACAACATTTTCCAATGGGCAGAATTGATGGGGAAGGGTTCTCAGTATTTTGTGATGCTGTAACAATCTCTTTGCTGCCCAATTAGAGAGAATCTGATGCGGAATGAGGAAAAAAACACCCAAAGGAAATCAGAAATCTGTCAAGATGGGGAGAAAGTTCAAATTCAGGACCTTGGAGCAGACCCACCTTAAAATGCAGATAGTTCAGGAAGCAGATTGGGGTGCAGACTTTAAGACTTGCATCTGTCAGCAGGAGAAGCTGGAACCCCTGTAGTTCTAAGGGTTACCAGAGCAGCTGTGTGGATGAGCCTCTGCTGCATCTTGTCAGACTTAAAAAAAATGTGTTCATGCCCTGAGTCTGTTCCTCCCCTCACCTCCACCCAGCCCCTCAAAGATCTCGTGTTTAATTCCATTGCAAGTTCAACAGTTTGGTCACAGTGGCAGTATGATCAAGGAAGGAGAAACAGCAAGTAAATTTTGGGTTTATGAAGGTATGCAGGGGACATTTCACACCCTGAGTTAAGTAAACTCTAACCTGTTTGGGCAATACCTTTTGGTCCATAGAAATGCCATTATTCAGACTATCACAATCAATAAATTGGATTTTGCTTTTGCAAGTGAAAGGGCTGTTATTTTTCATACAGTTTGTCAATAGGCTCCAGGTTATGAGATATATGAAACATATTCTACACAGGCCAGAGAGTTATGAGCTCTCAGGCAGATGAATTATTTAAGTTCTTTTCACTTCTATAAAAAAAAATAAATACAGAGATGGCCAAAACAGATGCCATAAATTGTGGGTTTGATGTAGGATTTCCATCTTTCCTTGTCTGTTCTAAAAAGCCTGGGTTCTTTGTACTGAAAATCCTTTTACCATTTGCATCTACACAGTGAAAGCCATTATTATACACTGAAATAGTGAACTGGACTTACAGGTGAAGACTTACTGCACATGAACTGAGAAGAAATGTGTAGTTCTGCTGGAAACTGGAGGGAAAGATGTTGTTTTCCCAGCCTGTTCTGGTACAACAAGGGTGGATTACAAACCAATTTGGGAATGCTGCTCTCTACAGACAAGCCAAAACCACCATCTTCCAACAAAAAGCTCTGGCACTCATCCTCCAGGACATCACAGCAGCAGGTCAGGATCACACCACCTCCCTGGACACTGGCCCCAGAGCTACAGCCAAGGAAGGGCTCCAGCTCATCAACACCAGCCTGGCCCAAGCTGCTGGGTCACCCAGAGAACTGCATTCCCTCCTCCCTGCTCTCTCTGGAAAGGTTCCCAGCTCCAATCCCCAGGAAAAGGCCAGAGGGCAGAGTTTACCTTCCATTTTTTCTGACATCCCTGTAATTCCTGCCCCTTTACCAGTCTGGCGATTACTCGCCCCATGAACTGCTGGAAAGAAATCTCAAACGAAACTGTATTGCATTACAAATAAAAATGAGTTATTTGAGAATACAACAAAACCTGTGTGATGTGGACAGAGAGCTCCCATGTTCCCATGGTTTGAAATCTGTCTTCCAGCCGCTTCTCTTTGCCTTCAGCAACTCCCTAACCCTCACACCCCAGTTCAGCAGAGTTTCTGCCCTACCATTCCACTCTGACACGACCCATTATTTTATCTTAATGTGCTCCATGTACCTCATCAGCATGTTCAATATATATATTTTCATTTACAAGGGTTCTCTGAAGAGTCAGAGCAAAGAATGGGGCCTCTCTGCTGCCAGATGCTGCAGGGATGTTTAAGCAGAAGGGGAATTCCTACATCCAGTCTCATGTATTAGGATATTGCTTCCTTTCCCCCACCAGCACGTACTTGGAGCACTCTAAGCCAGCCAGCTCTGCCCTTGCTTTTCCTACCCAATCCACTCTAGTTAAATACCTTTTTTCATAAGGAGTTTTAAATTATAAGTCTAAATGAGGCCAATAAATTATACTTCATAAAATCCCACGCACATCATTTCCTCACAGAAAAGGCTGCAAAGAAATATTTTCCATGCCACCACCTATGTTCCCATCCCTTTGCAATATAACATTTATTCTAATATTAAAATGGCAGCTGCTCTATAAATTGTGAATCATTAGCACTCTCCATTGATTTTTCCCTCTCAGCCTGCAACCCTGGGCAGCGACTGCGTGTGAATATCAGTCTATTGGATTGAGATTCATATCCTATTTGAGGGTCAAAGACCGAGACCTCGTGAGCTTGAACTTCTATCAGCCTAAAGCTGATCAATACTTGGAGATATATTTGATCCTGGCTGCAAGCACAGATTAAGTGGCCATAAATACAATCAAAACTGCGAGGCTGCTGGGATAAGAGGCCGGGGAACGGGAGCCCAGCCGCAGACATGCCAGCTCCACTGGGATTTCTGGGAGCAGGGGCAAGCCTGCAGGGCTGGGTCTTGGATTTTGGGGGGCCATGCAGCTCTGCTGACAGAGGAAGAAAGATCTGGTGACTTCAGGGACCTCGACACCACCTTGCTTTACGAGACTGGTGTTTGTGTTGGACACGGGACTCCTTTAAATTCCCACCCAGGGCACAGCCCAGGTATCCCAGGAGGCAAGAGGACTCTTCCTGGCATGGATCAGAGCCAGCTGCCCTGCTCGGCTTGGCATAGGCACCATGGGTGGACATGCTGGGAGGATTAATTGAAAGACATCAATCGGATCAAATAAGTTCCTTTTTTTCCTGTCTCCCCTCTCACCCTTCCCCCTCTATCTCCAAGTGAAACTTTAAATATATGATTAAAATGACCTATTAAAGAGGAGAGGCTCATTCCATTTGACTACATTAATGGTGATTCTGTGCTGGCTGAGGAAGAAAAAAATCCATAATCATAAGCTTTATTAAAGAACAAT